AAAGGCTTCGCGCACAGGGAAGCAGAGTCAGCAGCAATCCCGGCGCCCACACAGGGCCCTAACTCAGAGAACAGTGGGCAGCGGCAAGGGGGTCTCAGTCAGAGCAGGGGAATGGCGGACTCTAGGTCGGAGCTGGGGTTTGGGCGGGTGAAAAGTTAAGGGGTACTCCACTGGCTCGAGGACTTCCAGGGACAGCCGAGGAAAGGGTTTTCAAGATAAAACCAGAGAATCTGCAACCAACTAAAGGCAGAGACAAGAGAACATGGACTATCACCCTCAGTACACCCTCACGTTTACCCAGCTTGGTGTGACCTAGGGATTGTTGGTTATGGGTACATAACTTTCCATGTATACATTCTTTTTACAGTGTGTATTGGTTTACTGCTGCTAATGAAACAAATTACTACAAACCTGGAGACTTAATATACAATTGTCATAAAAAATATCATGTTTGGGGACATATTACATCAACCATATGCTCCACTCATTTCTTTCTTCCCTCTTCCCTCCCTTTCCCAAAATTCTCATAATTATTCAGTGTAATTTAGAGATTACTGTCGTACAGCCAATTTCCATAGCTTACGTTAGCATGGACGGGTTGACCTTTCTGGGTCTCAAGTTTTCTCACCCATAAAATGAAGAGGTTGGAGTATATTAGCCCCAGGTCCTTGTCAAGTTTCATATCCTATGATACTCTAATCCTTGAACACACAAAAAAACTCATCTGGTCCATAGTCCTGTCTCCTGGAGTCCTTTGCCATTTGCCACAGCAGAACATCTCTGGCAGGTAGTCCAGCTCCGTTTCAACTTTATCAGTCCTGAGGACCTGCCATCAGGCACTCATTCTACTCATAACAGCTCTGATTGTCAGAAAATTTTTCCTTGTACTAAGTAAAAAATGTCTCACCATCTCTAACCGCAATTTATCTATTCATAAAATGGAGATGAAAAATACCTACCTCAGAGAGTTGTTGAGCAGTTCAAATAGTATACTTACAAGTGCTTCTCAAAAATTAAAACCACTACAGGAATAATAATTACCATATTATCAGATACTATTAATAATCTTACTAATGTATACTTGTGTGATCTTTGATAGGTTATAAATTTATCTTTTAAATTTTTTATTTCAGTCCCCTTCAGGCATAACATTAAAAATAATCCTGAATGACATACACCTTTCTGGCTAAAGTATTGCAATATGGTCAGCTACAAGTTAATGAAATTCTACCTACCTCACTGATAATGGTAAAGAGGGTTTTAATACATATCATTAAATAATTCTCTGAAGATTGATACTAATTAATTGATAAACACTCTCTAAATATGATTTTCCAAAAACTTACTTTTCTCCCTAAGGGGCCATAAGCTTCAAGCTGAGTACTACATCCACTTAATGGCAGATTATAAAGCTTGGAAATGTTGCATCAATACTTATTATTTTAAAAATATGTTTTTATTGATTTGAGAGAGAGGAAGGGAGAGGGAGCGAGAGAGAAGCATCAGTCAGCTGCCTCCTGCACATCCCCAACAGGGGATAGAGCCCAAAGCCCAGGGGATTGAACCAGCAACCTCCTGAGCCACACCGGCCCATTCCACCCACCAAACGACATCAAGTACAGTCCTTCTACCTTTTGAATCTCTACCATCCCTCTTTCTTATTTCCCATTGTCTTGAGTTCACTCTCTCTTTTCTCACCTAAATTTTGGTGACAGGCTTCCAACTGGCTTCCATTCTTCAGCCACACCTTCCCTCATCTTTCACATGGCTGCCAGAAGGATCTCTCCAACTAGCCAAGTCTTACCATGGAAATATTTCTAAAATCTTTAAATTACTGCAGCATGAAACCTCGTAATGAATGCACATCTCCATAAACACCTTTCTTCCTATGCCTCAATATCATGTTATTCATACTCCCTACCACATGAACAGCAAAAAATAATCATGAAGCAATAAGCAAGCCCTCTCACCCCACGAGCATCTGCAGGCTCTTTTCTCCAAGCCTGTGACCGTTCCCCGCCTGGTACCTAATTCCTCCTGGTTCTTTAGGACTCGGCTCACCTCCCAGACATGTTCCCTGATCTTCACTTCAAGTCCTCTCCTACACAGGCTGTCCTGTTTTCTCAGCACCCAGAGTGCTTCTCATTTGGGAAAGTTTGTTTCTTCTTTTAGGCTGTATTTTCCCTGAGGGCAGAGACCCCAACTTATCACTATATCTAGACCCTAGCAAAGTATCTGGCACGTGTTTGTCAAATGCAGGAAACAGATCAGAGAAAAGCAATGCTCTTAAACTGGAGCCTCAACATCCTTTCAGACTCATCGCCCACTCTGACCCCGGCGACAGGCTCGTGAGGCAGATAGGCACTGAGAACATGTATTTTTTCATTGCGCTACACAGCGCCCCTCCCTATTCTGAAAGTCCCACTGAATCTAGAGCTAGTTTATCAGATGAAACCCTGGGAGAAGACAAAGCCGATGAAGTCTTACCCTTGCCACTGACAAGGTCAACTTTTCAGAGGTTTGTATCAGCACCTATTTCCTTTCTAGACTTTTCCTATTTAACAAGACATTTATACCATAATATAAAAAAATCACTCCTCTGGAGTCAAGATTTTTTCCTCTCTTCAGCTGAAACCAAGTACTTCTAGCTCCCAGAAGCTTTAATCTGTACCAGCTCTAAGCCTTAAAGAACTTGACTACTTCAACTCTCAAAGTATTAGCCTTTTTATAAGTACATTTTCCCACTCCACTAAGAGCAAAAGTACTTTCAAAAATTGCCTCTGCAATAAACACAGCAGCCTTGCCCTAGCCAGGTTGGCTCAGTGGTTACAGAGTCGGCCCAAGGACTGAAGGGTCCCAGGTTCGATTCCAGTAAAGGGCACGTACCTTGATTGCAGGCTCGATCCCCAGCCCTGGTCTGGGCGCATGTGGGAGGCAACCAATTGATGTCTCTCACACCGATCTCTCTCTCCCCCTTCTACTCTCTGAAAAGCAATGGAAAAATATCTTCGGTGAGGATTTAAAAAATAAAATAATAAACAACACAGGAAACCCCATGATAATGTTGAAATTGAGGTATTTGTGATATGAAAGCTCCCAGATCACTCTTGGCAAAGGGTAGGCACTCAAATATTTTGAGTGGTGTATATCTACTTTCTGAATACGTGTTCCATCAACTACGCAAAACTCATGAGCTTCAAATATGAATCACAGCTAATGTGTGATCACAGTACGCCAGCCTTCCAGTTCCTCTCGGCCTATGCTCTCACCCAGGTTGCCTGTGTCTCTTGGTAAAACAGTTCAAGTCTGTGATCCCCTGCTGTGAAAGAACTTATTTCAGGCCCATGCTCAATTATATCCAATTGTCTTCTTTTTTCTGTACTTTTAACCAGTGAGTTTTCTGGTTGTACTCATGTCCACGACCAAAGCTAAGTTTATCTTTCCCATTTCTGCACTGTTAAATTTTTCTCTGTAGAAATAGCTATAACTCTGAAACAGATGGTATTTAGAAGCAAGGGCGCTGGAATTATTTGAGATAAAGTGTTTATAATTGAAAATTTTAAAACCCTCAATACCCAATAATAAAGGAAACATTATGGAAAGATATAATTAAATGTTACACAGCCAGTACAATGGTGAATGTACTCTACACACACACATAATGGAAAAACAGTAAAATATTGGGTGAAAAAAACTCAGTGCCAAAAAGTGTACAGTACATTTTTTAAGACATTTAAGCGAGGACCAGTTGGGCAGTGAAGTTACCCACAGAATTTTAAAAAGTTATTTCTGGAATACTCTCAACAATAAAGATTATAAAAAAGCAAAATAGTAATTTGCAATGTTTAAGTTGTTAGAGTAACCGCAGTTAAGGCCCCTTCCCTCTCCCTGAATTGGGATCAGTTTACCAATTTCTCTTTCTCACACACACACACACACACACACACACAATCTGAGATAGATGTGTTTTAAAACATACAGGTGAGCAGAGTTGCGCAGCAGAAGCGTGCTGGGCCCATAAAACAAACATACTAATTAGTTGCCTTGAGGAACTCAGGACTGAAAATGGGAGTATTTTTTTATAAAATACTTCTTTATACTTTTGAATATTTTTGCCTTGTGCATTTTACCAATTTTGATTTCTTTTTAAACTTGCAAGACCTTAAAAGGTTCTTGAACAACCCACTTCCTCCTGCTTGCCATTCTTAAACAGGCCTAGTACACTCGCTCCTTAGAGTCTTTGCATCTGCTCCCCCACCAGGAATGCTCTTTCTTCTCCCTTTACCATGTTTTATTTTCCCTTACAACATTTATTGCCACCTGGCATTAAATGTCACATCTGTTCACATACATACCTGCGTATCCTCCATATTCACTCACTAAAATATAATAAGCTCATGGAGACTGAAGTCTTTTGTTCACTTGTTCCCTCCTAGCCACTGGAATGGTGCCTGGCACAGACCCAGGCTCACTATATACTGAGTCAAGTATAAATAATCTGAAAGGTTATTTCAGTGGGCCCGAGAAGTAACCTACACAGCACTGCCGTATGCCTTGCTTTCTCAACTTGGGGGCACCGTCTACACCCTGGGGGAAGAAACTTGTAATGTGGTTGCAAAGACCCCTCCTTCCTCTTTCTGAAAGACACACATATAAACATCCGATACCACCTCGGGCTGGATGCTCAAGGCTGTTAGAACTACTAACTGTTCCATCACTCTACAGGAAGCTGCTTAACCTAAATGCCATCCAGTCACCTCAATGAAGATCACTCAGAGGACCAGACAAAAACCAGGCATGCCTACTGCTGAACGCGGACGCTAATTTGTCCATTCCCAGCTGCAGCCTCCAAAAGGAATCCCATCTGCTACCATCTCGAACTCAGACGCCCACAATTGTTAAATAGCACGAATGCACCTTTACGTCGGGCTTAGAGTTTACTACTAAGTCAAGCGAATGAAGTGGGGGGGAAAAAGACAACACGCTCATTGGAAAACATATTCCAGGTATGCAACTTTTCCTTTCAAGGGTAAAAATTTTATTTTTGAGGAACTTCATGCTGCACATTTTCAAAGAGAGTCATATAAGAAAGCAAAAAATGTTATCCTCCCCTCATCCTAGAAATAAATAAGAAGGGCATAAAATTTCTTTTTAAATCACGACACTTGGAAGTTTAGCACCAGCATCCAAAATGAACAGAAAAGGGAAAAAAAAGCATTTACTATATATTTCAGGTTTCTTTGGCTGGGGTTCTCCCCATGTGATATTAATATTTCTTCTTTGAATTCATATTACCAAAACAGTAAAAACCAGGAAAAAAATATAAACCTAGTGGTTGCCGAAACTGGGGAGGTTGCTCTCTCATCTTCTGTGCGGGCATTCCAGGAAAAATTGCTGGAAACATTGGCTGACATTCTTGTTTTGTGCTTGTTTGTTTCGTGAAGAACAATCGTAAACATTCCAATGTCCACATCTTGGTTACTAGTCTTCCACTTTATTGCTTGGACGTTTCTTTGGTGTTGGTAAGGTCATGGTCTGCTTTTTGCTTTGTTTTTTGAATGGTAATTCTTTAGGTCACCTAGAAAAAATTAAAATCAAACTTATAATGAGTAACAAAATGACCAAGAATTAAAGAATAAAAAGGCAAAAATAACCTGTTTTTCATGCAATTAAAAAAACAGTATTTCATAAGCTCTAAACGAAATCTACATATTTATCTTCCTTAGATTTGTAAACTGCACACTGCTTTAATGGAAACCCTTTTTCACGAAATATTTTTATAAACCAGAAGAGTCAGTACATAATAGTGAAAACCACAATGAAGTTAACAAGCTGACCTTTATAAAGAGGTTATTCTTTACTGCTCCCTGTTTAACCGCTTTCCAGGTGTTATCTCAGTAAATCTTTGTAAGGACCTTGGAGGGTAAGTCTAGTTGGTGTTCCCATTTTCCCAGGAGCAGACATCACTGAGGCAAGAGGGTAAATGAACTGCTGAAGATCGCCTAGCAAACGAGTAGCAGATCCTGCACTGGCTGTACAGACCTCCTGGCTTGTACATATCCCACACTGCCTCCAAATAAATAATGTTGCTTATCAAAAGGAAAAGGGAAGGAAAAACCCCTCTAGTTTATTCTACAAATCAGTCTCCAGTTATTATAATGAGGTCTTGTCAGGCACTTTTAAAATTTTCAAATTGGCCACTAGGTGTCACAAAAGTAAAACTTTCAGAAGTTCTCTTACCTCGTATACCATATTAATACTATAATAGTTAAAAACTGTCTAGAAAAAAGAATTTGACCCTCTTCTGTCTGAATGTTTATGCTCCCAAAGCCTCACAAAAAAAAGGTCAATCTCAGAGACATTTAACCACCAAAACTTTCTTAAAAATCCCAATGGAGATGAGGGGATGGGCCAGGTGAGTCACAGAACTAGTTCAGACTGATTGGTGCTATTGCTGAGAAATCAATGACATTTAAAAGAAAGTATCAACTTAAGCTGGGGCTGCCTGAGCTCTTACCTGCTGATGGTGAAGGTGCCTGGGGAGCCTGGTGTTACTCAGCACTGCTCTGCTCGGTGGCCGGAGCAGGGTTCTCAGATGGCACGTCACCTGCCTTGGTCTAAAACACAAAACAAATCCACAAATCAGATATGAATAAACTCAGGTGACAGTGGACAGTTCAAGACCAAAAGTTCTCAAAAGCTGGAATCCTTTTGTTTATGAAAGCAAAGCGCTGTGCAAACTTGTACCTACTCTCTAGTAAAAAATTAGTACCACCAAAGACTGGCTTCCTACACTAAGCACCACCACCCTCCATAACAGAAAGTCTATGATACCCAATTACTGTCCACACACTCAGAAGCGGGTTCCCCTCTGTAGACGCTGTCCTTGGTTTGGACAGCCCTAAACATTTTGCCTCTGAATCCCACCAGTACAGGTAATTCTCTCAGAGAATGTCTACTGAGTCAAACTCAAATATTTGACTTGTGTTATGTGCAGGGAATACTCTCTCTATATACATACGGACTTCAAATGAAATGTTAATATACATATAAATATATATATCTGAATATATATAATATATATAAGATGTTATATGTAAATAACTACACATAAATGTTACTTATAACAATAGTTTACATAAACTATTGTATAGACAGAAACATAACTTTACACGTCGTGTGTATTTCAGTGTCAGTAGTTAGACTATAAAACCACTCTTAGGACAGATACGAAAGCCTGACATGACGAAGGATAACCTGGCACCATCCCCTCCGGCTGGCGGGATTTACCTCTTTGCCATCTTGTGAAGGAGCATTAGGAGGACGGGGGCGACGCCGATAGTTGTAGGGGCGCCGGTACCCACGGCGAGCAGAGGGCTGGTTCGGACCATTGGCCGCCTGCTGATTCTCTTTGTCTTCAGCCTCCCCCACAGCTGGGGCAGGTCGTGGGCGAGGAGGTCCCCTAGAGCAGAGCACAGAACAAAAGGAGAAAAAGTGCAACAAGACGGGTCCTCAAGAACACAGGTTTTGTTCCTTTTTAGAGATTAAAAAAATTAAGTGATCGGGTACTTAATTGCTAGAATTATGCACAGGCTAATGCAGCAAATGGAACATAGTTTTGGGGGGGAACATTTCCCCCTTCATCTGAATACCTATTTGTAGTGACTAAACATATACTGAACACATACTATGTTCCTACCAGCCCCTCTGACAGGCACTGAGAAGCAAATCAAAGCAGAGCAGTGGTCTGGTGTCTGCCCTCCAGGAGCGGTTTAGTGGAGACCAGGGGTTAAACACAGGAAGAAAACTGACACCCCCTGCTACTGCCAGAGCCTGCGTTGGAGTGTTTCACGTTAAGTAATTTAATGGCAATGCTAATTCTGAGAGTCAGATTTACAGTGAGAAAACCGAAAGGTTGAGAGGGAGTAAGTCCTTGTTTGAACCCCACGGGATGGCCACGTTTCCAGGCCAAAAGGGTCAACTGTAACTTTTCCAGGATCACAGAGCTGGGAATCGACAGACTGGATTCACATACTGTCCTGTCCCCTTGGTTTTCCCTAAGACATTTTCCATGAAGTCTCTTTTGTTTGAAAAGCCCTTAGTAACTGATCATTAGGGTGACTACGTCTAACACGGGAATGAATGGTGCTGGGAAGAAGGATGTGGAGTGGTGCAAGCCCTTTCCCCACAAGTACTACCGTCCCCTTGCACCAGGCCCACACTGCCAGACTTCAAGGCAGAATAAATGCCATTCAGGGATGAAGATGTTTTCCACTCACCTCAAAGATAGTGTAAATATACAGGAAGGTTTATTATGGGCAGGAATAATATTTAATATTTATTGAGCACTTACTGTAGCGGGCACACCATACTAACTACCTCGGTTAGGTGCATTAAAAAGTTAACCCTGCTGACAACTGTAGCATATTCCTTGATGTCCAGTTTATAGGCCTGGTGATTAAGTCTCAGAGAGTTCACAAACTTGCCCAAGGAATTGCAGCTACTAACTGCAAGGTGGAAATTGAAATAGACAACTTCATCGATAGCCTGATTTAACCCTTACACTAGAGTGGCTTGGTGAACAGAATATTCAGCATCCCAAATAACCTTTGGCACTCAATCTTTCTCTAGTTGTAGCACAATCACTGAATTACTCATCAATTAATTTCTGCTTATTCCATTAAATGTAACAAAAATAAGTATTCATTTGTATCATGCCAAAGTTACCAAATACAAATAATGCTTTGATACGGGGGTAACTAAAAATTCTAATTGTTTAAATTAGGGGGGAAATGTCACAGGCCACCTGAAAGTATACACTGCAGAGTCGCCCCCAAACCTGGCCACACAGTCAAAGCAGCCACACTGTTTTCTATTAAACAATAAACCCGCAAAACAGACCCTCATCCACTCGGCAGCCACTCACTAGTCCTTCAGCTGGTCACGCGTCGGTGACGTTACATACCTACGGTACCTTGGACGGTAGGTTGGATTCCGATGAACGGGTCCCTGAAGCTGCGCTCCCTCTGGGACTCCATCCTTCATCTCTCCAATCTCACCGGCCTAGAAGGGAACAGAGCTGAAAATAAGTGACCTGCTACAGGATACAGGCAACAACACACAGCTGCACTCAGAATTCTTTTGAAAAATAGAAAACAAAATGCTTCCTTACAAAGCTGGGAACGCTCGGCCATAACAGTGAACTAGTTACTGGCTAGATCTTTGTGAACGACAGAAAAGAAAGAAAAACTCGCTCCCACTAGAATAGTTTTCTGCCTTATTCCAGAGCAACTGATTTTATTTCACAAAATTAACATTTTGAAGTGCTCCATTCATCCCTTGAAAGCAAACCTACAGCAGAAAAGGAAATGCATTGTTACACTACTTTTGAGCAATGAGTATCTTTTCAATCTTTTCAAACTCAGAGCCACTAATTCTACAGACTAGGTTTCCCTTCAGTATCATTTAATGGTTTTAAACTCAGGCCTCTCCCACACCTCTCAACCACACCTCCACCTCTCATTTCTTCCTTTCACAATTTCTCCCTTATATCTGTTTGCACTATTTATTTGAGTATAACATTTTTAAAAATAAAATACACTTTTCTTGATGATAAATTTATTTTAAGCTGGGGGAATAAAATCATTTTATTATAGAACTTCCAGGAGAAGCTATAAAAAAAACAAAACCTACCAACAACCTCTGAAATTCGTTATAACACAGACACAATCTCAACCTCTTTTGCTCCCCCACCGAAACTAACATCCCTTCCTTCTCCATATTTCACTAAGAAAAAAAGCAATCAGAAAATGACTTCTACATTCTTTCACTATCGAAATCTACCATGCTACCTACATCTGTATTAATTTTCCTCTCTCTCATTACACTGGATAAGTGGTCCAAGCTCATATCCACAGCCAACGCCTCTCTGACTCTTTACCCCTCCTTCATTGTGTATTTTCTCTCTTCTATTCCATCCTCTCCATCCAGGCATATAAACAGGCTGAAATAACACCCATCGTCGTTTTGAATTATTTTGAAATAATCACAAACTTACATAAAAGTTGAATGTATAGAATCTAACCCTCAGGCCCCATTCCAATCTCACCAATAATGTTCTTCACAGTAAAAAGACCCACTTAGAACCACGCATTGAAGTTAGCTGCCTCTCTTTCTAACAGTTCTTCAATCTCTACTTGGTTTCCATGACCACAATGCTTTTAAAGACTACAGGCCAGGTATTTTGTAAAACACACCTCAGTGTGGGTTGCTGGGTGTTTCCCATGCTGTAGTTTACGCGCGGATGGCAGGGAAGCCACAAAAGGGACGCTGCAGTCTTCGCACTGCATCCTGTCAGGTGGCCAATGGCTTCAATTTGTACAGTGACAGTGCTTGCGCTGAGCAGCAGTTAAGGCGGTGTCTGCCAAGGGCCCCTGCTGTACATTTCCTCTTCCCCCCTTTGTAATTATGAAGGGTTTTGTAAATATTTCATTCCTCATCAAATTCTCAATACATTCATTCACTCATTCATTTACGTCTGTACAGACTCATGGTTTTCTCTTCTGTTCAATGGGTTATAATCTGTTACTATCATTACTGGCCAATGGGAACCCATTCAAGCTGTCTCATGTCCCTTTGACAGGTCTCCAACATTCCTTGAGTACCTCCTTGATCTCTGGCATGACAAGATGTTCCAGGCTCATATTGTACTTTCTCTGATCCAGATCTGAAATCAGCCATTTCTCCAAAGGAGCTTCCTTTTATTGGAGAATGGTATTCAGGAAGCTCAATGCTATCATGGTGTCACTGATTTCAGGCCACTTCAGCAAACAGAAATAAGGAACACACACACACACAAATACACATGCACACACTATATACTACACATCTATAAATGAGTGTATGGGTGAGAGCCAGTGTGTATGTGTGGCCTTTGACCTGCCCACCTAATGCATCATGAGGAAGTTGCTGGTGAGGGAAGGGGTAAGGGAAACCCGGGCAGAACTCACTCAATGTAAAAACAAAATCAAATCAGCCCCAAACCTTGCCCTAGCCTCATATCCCCCCCCCCATACTGCCCCATTTCTTTGACCTCCTTTACAGACAAGATATACTAAAGGAAACCCATCGCCACCACCACAGAAACCTCCTCAAAGGGGGAGAGAATACCGCTTCTCCCTCCCCCTTGGCTCTTGAGTTCCTTCTAATTAGATTTTTGTGCTCACCACCACTGACCTCCAAGTTACCAAATCCTCTCTTCAATTCTCAGCCTAACTTGCTCTACTTCCCCGCATTTCCTTCTTGAAGTACATTTTTCCTACCTGCCCCTTCACGCTGTCATTTGCTAGACCATCTTCCCAATCTGTAACTGTTGGTGCGCCTCAGAACGGAGTCCCAGGGTCAGTTTCTACCTTCACTCATTTTATAGTTAATCTCATTCTACACCATGCCTTTCAATGTTTTTGTTTTTGTATTGTTTTTTTCAATGTTTTTACTGATTTCAGTGAGAGAGAGGGAGAGAGAGACAGAAACAATGATGAGAGTCAGTGATCGGCTGCCTCCTGCACGCCCCCGACTGGGGATCGAGCTGGCAACCCGGGCATGTGCCCTGACTGGGAATCCAACAGGTGACCTCCTGGGCATAGGTGGACACTCAACCACTGAGCCACGCTGGCCAGGCCCTTTTGATGTTTTTATGTCTCCAAAGTTATATCTAGCCTCATTTCTTTCCTTCAGGTTCCCTTCAGCCTCTGTACTTGCCAATCTCTCTGCCATGCATGCCATTCCCACTACCCTAGTAACTCACTCCCTTGCATCCTTGGGTCTCTTCTCAAATACAGCACCAAAGACTGTCAAACACCTTATCTAAAACGGCACCTTCTTAAGCCACTTTCTACCTCTTGACTCTGCTTTGATTTGGGGTGTATTTTGTTTTTGTCTACCTGACATCTCCACTTGGAGGTAAAATTTAATGTGAGGAAAAGACTTCACACTATGATTTCCGCCTCACCCCCAAACCTAATCTTTCTTCAGTCTTCCTGTATTTGTGTAAATAGGAAGCCTTAGAGGTATCCTTTACTCCTAACATCACACATTCACTCCAGCACCAAATGCTGTCACTTTTCTGTTGAAAACCTTGCCTAACCTGACCACTTACCACACCTCCACTGCTAGCACTTTCACTTACGCCATGATCCTCTCTCCACAGGGAATTACAGTGGCTCATCCCCCTACTGGTTGCCTCCTGTGCTCCAGCCTCTAAAAACAGTCCAATGATCTCTTAAATAGGTTTCTTCCCTGTTTAGATTCCTTTACTGGCTTTTTAATCACATTTAGAGTATGTCAACAGTTCCTATCACGGTCTACCAAGCATGCCTGGTCTGCCCTAAGCTATCACCCTAATCTCACCTCCTAATCCTCTCCTCTCCACTCATACCATCCCAACCACAAGGTCTCTCTTCAGTTCTCTGAATAAGCAAAAGCTGCTTCTTCTCTAGAAACTCTGATTAGCAAAAAAAAAAAAGAGAGAGACAGAAACAGCCATTAACACGGATAGACGAGAAGTGTTTACTGGAACAACAGAATGGGAAGAGCATGGGTAGACATACTGAAGCTCTACCACTTTCTGCCCATGTGACCTTAGGTAAATGTTGCTAACTTTTTAAAATACTCAAATCTCTTCATCTGCAACAACCACAACAGTATGGGAACCCACTGCCAACTTCATAAAGCTGCAGGGAGGCCTGAATAATTTATTTCAAATCTCAACCACTTGGGAGATGCAGATCAACGTTACTCCCTTTCCTCCATCATATACTTATTTTCTCAAAGACTACAAATAGTTCATATTAGCTCAGTAACCAATTCTACTTAATTTTCAAACACACAGAATTATTACCTTTTAAAAAAATGGAAGTCATCTGGTCACTGACCATGCTATATTACATCCTTTACATAAGGGGAAATACTACTGGCCTGTATATTATTAACTTTTCCTATTGTATACAATAAATCTCATAGTTCTGTATATAAGAAGAAATGTTAGAAAGACTTTTCTATTTGACCTCAATTTTTACCATCTAGAGATCCCTCTATACTTTTAAGTCATCACACTGACAACCTTAAAGTGGCCTAGTTTTGTGGAAGAAAGTTTTAGGAATTTTCTCTTGATGCCATTGGTTAGCTTACTCAGTGAACATCCAAACATGGCGTTTATTAGAAAGATTCTAAGGAAAACTGTTGAAAAAAGTCTAAGAGAGCTTTTACTTCAGATATGGAAACTAAAGTAAACAATCCAGCCCAAGTTAAAACAACTACATGCAGTTATCGGAATAAGCACATGTTTTCAAAATTAGTTTTCAACCAGCTTCTGCAAAGGATGTACTACATGGTACTAAAGAATCACTTTGCTCTCAACCTTCAGGTCCTAAGGTGAAATATACTTTATTTCCAACAATACAGAAAAGAATCATCATGTTCTCAAAAAATGTGATAAGTGTGTATGCTAAATACTAAAAACGATTGTTTCAGGAAGGCACTAACACACTAAAAATAAGTGTGTATGACAACCTCACTGACTCTTCCTGTCCTCACTTCCTAGAAGCCCCAAGTGCTGCCCTAAAGAAACCTACTATGCCTCATGTACCCAACCTCTCCATATACGTAAGTCCAGTCGTTATTTTTAGCACATTTGTCAGGGACAGCTGTTAAAGAGTGAAGAGAAAAAACAAGAAGCAATGCAGAAAGAACACAGTCATGCACGACGGGACAGGAGAAGGGTAGCAAAGAACAGACTGAACATAATGTTCAGTCAAAACACTTACTGGGAAAACAACCCAAGGACACTAAGAGGAAGCATTTGTCGCTGGTGATAACAAAATGATGGCCTCTCCTAAGTTTTCCACGATTCTGGGGACTGCAAAGTTGGTGTCAGGCTTATTAATGACAGGCCAAGTTCACAATGGTTGTATCAATATTTTGTGGATTAAAAAAAAAGAAAAAAAAAGAAAAAAAAAGAGGAACAAGCCAATCATCAGCCACCTCCACCCTCTGGAAGGGTTTCTTAGCAACACCACCGCCTCACCGAAACTGAGGGCTTCATAGGTGCTGGCTATCCCGAGGCATCACACTAACCTCTCTGCCTCTGCTTTAATCATAAGCCCCGTGGTGGAGGCACATAATTATCGCCATTTAACAGCTAAGCAAGTTAATCTCTCTCAAGTTTGGTTTTCTCAAAAGCTCACAGATGTTAAGCGGCAGAGACAGGATTTGAATCCAGGCCCACCTGGCCCCGGGTCTAAGCTCTTACACACACTGCCGGTCTCTGCACTTTCTTTCTTCCGTGACCTGGGGACCGGACCCTCCCTGCCAGGGTCCCCAGCTCGGGCCTGGCTCGCGGCTGTGCTTTCAGAGGCTGCTGCAGCGAAAGGCTGCAAGGCCCGGGTCCGGGCCGGCTCCGGCAGCACCGGGGAGCCACAGCACGTTCCGTCTCCCGTGGCTGGAGGAGGAGGAGGAGGAGAGGCGGAGGAAGGACGGAGGGGTGAGGGCTGCCGAGGAGGAGTCCCAGGTGCGCTGTTACCTGCATTCTGCTGGGATGGGGATAGACCCGTGAGCGACGGTCAAAGGTCTGTCCCACGTGGTAAGGCGGGAAGCGCCGCCGGTACTGAGGGCGATACTGGGGGCGGCGCAGCTGGCTCCGGGCCCCAGGGAACTGCCCGTCAGCGGCGGGGGGCTCAAATCCTTCACTGCTGCCGCTCCCTTCCTCCTCCTCCTCCCCAGCGTACTAGCGAAGCAAAGAAACAGAGGTTCAGGGGGGGTTTCAGCAGGGGCAGGACCGGGGAGCACCCCTGAGGATGCCTGTCACCAAAAGGAAAACACCCTCCCAGGAAGGGTCGTCCTTTTATACAGCAAAGTGCACTTAGCCCAGGTCCTCCTGGGATCGGCCACATGAGGATTAAAGTGGATCTATGCAGATAAAATACCAAGAAGCAGAAAAGCAAAAGCAATCCATCTATAATCATTTTAAGTCCCTGGATTAGGGTCGATGAGCACCGGCTGACCCACCACCCAAAGAACATCTACAATGTTTATAACATGTAGCTCGGGCCACATGTGTGTCTCCCAACATTCGCCACCCACCGGGGCAAAGTCAGGGCAACTCAAAAAAAAAGAATGATGTTTTGCAGTGTTATCAACAGTTTGTTCTGCACAGTATACTTCCCGGAGCTGTTTTCAAAGTGCGGACAGGGTCTCCGTAACCTTGCAGGGGGTTATCAAGGTCAAGCTATTCTCATACGCTATGAAGATGCTATTTGCCTGTTCCCCTCTCATCATCTCATGAGTGTGTGGTGGGATCTCCCCGGGCTACAATGACGTGGTCTCAGCAGACTCCATGCAGGAGATAAGAGAATTCAGCTGTCTTCTATTAAACCAAACGTCAGAGATTTGCAAAAATATCAAGCAACACCACTCTTCTCACTCAATTTTTAAAAATATAGCTTTCATTAAAATGTTATTTATGTTTACATGTAATGAATTTATTTTACATCAACTAAATATTTTTAAAATTTCTGCCTTAATTTCTAATATATAAACTTGAATAGACATAAACACATATAAACAAAGACTCTGGGATCCTCAATAATATTTGAGCATATAAATGGGTCCAAAACCCAAAGTTTAAGAACCACAAACTCTTATGGCATGATTTCTCTATATATTTAAGAATAAAGTTTTAATTGCATTTTAATTGATGGTAATAAGTAATAGACTCAAGTAGTTTCTAAATATAGGTCTTACTAACAAGGGGAATTGTTCACTCACTGTATAATTTTTTGCTGTACTTAAACTACCACATCATATATTAGTATTTTATATTTCAAAATAAAAATTAACAACCAAACATCCCTCAAAGAATTTATTTTAAATCTCCTTGAGGGATATGCAAACACCAAAGGCAGTATTAAGAGAAGTAACAATAGTTATTAAAAATAAATTGAAAATTAACAAAATAATGACCCATTTCTTCTGGAGGGTGAGGATATTTAAGTTTTTGAACCTTCAGTTCATGCCCAAAGAGGCAGCTGAACTCCCCAACAGGAAAAGCTGCAACGACAGCCTGAGCCAGTCCAGTTTCAGACAAATCGAGCCATTCTACACGTGTAAAACCTGTCTCAGCTACGATCCCCAATTACATAAAGACATATTAGCATAAAAAATGTTCACCAAAATATTAAGTATGAGACTTCATAAATTGGTTCTTTTTTGGCTTTTCTGTATCTTTGGAGTTGTGCGCGGCCAAATCTCCCATTGTTACAACGTAAGAGTAATGGCACCACCATTAGCAAGCACGCTCGTGAGCCCTGAGGACTTAAAAACGTTAAAACAGAAAAACTTCATGTACACTTTCAGAAATTCTGGCATTTCTAAATATCTTTAACATGCGTGACTTCAAATTTCCAGCTGAGTAGAAAAGTCTTTAAAGGGAAAATTTTCACTAAAGGTTCTACCCCTTTTACTTCTGAATTAACCTAGGAATCAAAATAATCACAACTAGAGCTCTGGGAATCTGGTGAACTTGAGTTAACCTGAGTAGTAGCTCATTCCTACCTCTACCCCCCGCACAGCTTATTATTAAAAAACAGAACAAGTAAGAAAAATACAGAAACAGAAAAACAAGATGTCATAAGCAATCTGATAAAAATCAATTGGGCAGGGCGAGAAAATGACAGAATGAAGAGGGAAAGCGTTCTGCTAAAGCAGAAAGATTACGGTGTCAATCCCAGGCGCTAATTCTAGAAACATCAAAAAGCAATTCAAATTTATAGAATCCTAATGACCATAAATGAAAGGGATTCTTTGTGGGTGCTTTGACAGTATTTATATTGAGCCTAAGAAAGCTCTAGCCAGACTCGGTTGTAAACCCTTTTACCTGGATTGGCGCCAATCTGAAGAACCAAACATCACGAGAATTACTTACTACTTCTTTACTTTAAAATAAAGTGAATGCTATCCTAAATAAAATAGCCACTTTCTTGCAAATTTAGTGTTTCTGTGGCCAATACTGCTTATTGCCTATTCCAAAGCTATCTCCATTCTTCTTCCTTGCCAACCAAACGCTGATTTTCTTAGAGGTCAACAGTGCCAGTGCCAAGGGATGAACCACAGGTTTCAGCCCGTCACGGAATCCCGTCCCCTTTACCAGTGGAAGCCCCATGACCAGGCTATGGCCCAACGGAAGAGCCCGATGAAGAGACTGCCTTTTTGACAACCTTGGCACAGCCTACCTTAGTTAAGCTTTCTTGTTACAAGATAGTTAAACGCCTGTTACTTGCAGCCAAGTACATACAAACTGATACAACTTTTCAAATGGCAAGTTTCGAATGAAACCAGTGGCTATGGACAAATTGTGGGCACAAAAAATTTCCCATCAGGAAAAAAAAATCATCTTTGTGTCTCCAGAAGATACAGTATTTATCTGCTGTAAGAATGTACACTTAATTTCAGATGTGAACATTTTTTCTATCACTGGTTAGGAAGAGAGACCAACGTACATTACGGGGAGGTCCACGGCGTCTGCCATAGTAGCCACGTCTGTAACGGCGCCGGTCGGCGGCGTAGCGGCTGCCTTCTACAGGAACTCCATCTGGGCCCGTCACATTGGCTGCCTCGGCACCCTGAGACACACAGCAAAGACAGCTTCACAATTTAAAACAGGCTAAACGCCCCCAAACAGCCTCAGACAGCCAGTGTTAAAGACTGGCAGAGCATACTAACAATTCCTATTGTTAGGCCTCAAAAATATACCCAAGTTTTGATAAGGGGAGCAAGGTATTTGATGTCCTGATTGAAATGCAGAAGCTTGTCTGCATTTCACAGCCCAGCTCTGCCTTCTTGTTTGGCCACACTAAGTTCATGAACAGTGTGTACCTCTTTGAAGAACACAAACTGGTAAACATAACACAACTGTAAAAGAAGCAGTGCTAGACCAGGAAGGATATTCTTCAGTGGAAAACAACTGAGATCATGGCATCTTCCTAGAAAATGTTGAAACCTAGTTTGCTCTAAGAGGTACCAAGAAAATCCCCTTTCATGGGCTCACGTGGCTCTGTCCAGCAATGACCAAGAGTGAAATTGGCAGCAATGAGAAAGAAGGGTCCTTGGTTTAGTAACAGTCCCTCTTTAGACCTTCCTGTTTTCCTCAGAGCAGACCTAGTGTTCTTATTCTCACATGGACAAATGAATAAAATAATGCTTCAAACATATAAAAAGTTAAAGAGGACTCAAGAGTATACTTCACACCCTACATAAATCTGCAAAACCTCAAGTTCTGAAACAGGTAAAATCAACCTGACAAAACAGAGTATTAGAGATCATTAGAGGCCAGTATTTGCTGGTGGGTGATTTGAAACTCCAAGAGATTTGCAAGACACTCTGGGGATCAAATCAGCAAAGACATCACTTAGATTACTATATTAAATGAAATAAAGCATTTTTCTCTCAAAGCAGAACAATTTGGGAGCCACTAAGAATATGGACTATAGAATGGTATCTATGTATGTATCTGGAAAAAGCACATGCATGGGAGTTGACTAATCATTCACTTGGTTAAGTTTATAATTCAGTTGCCACGATTAACTGCCACAGTGGTTGTACCACATATGGCTTTAAAATGTTTTTTTTTTAATGCTATGTTGTTTTACTGATATCTATAGTAAACTGCTGATTAAAACTTGGTGATGCATTTCAAGATGATCAATTAGCTTCATCTGAACAAAGCTGTTACATAGTCCATCAAGAAGCCTCTAGCTTTCCAAAATCCAAGCCAAAGAGAAAACACAATGCATTCAATCTGAATCTTCTTTTATTGAGAGTAAAATATTCTTCCCTGTGTATTACTTGTATTATTAACCCTTTGTGGTCGTATTAAATTTGGACATGGGTGTCGTACTGGTTGGAATTAAGAGCTTTCAGAAAAATTATGAACTGATACATGAATGAACAGAGTTAAGATTCGTACGGTTCCTTGCTGTGGTGGCTGAGAGCAGACATACGACCGCAACGGTAAACAGCTTTGGTGGCTGAGAGTAGACAAACGACCGCAAAGGGTTAAAAATCACAGCCTGAAAATTTTATTTGCATAAAACAAGTTAAATTTTAATCTATTTAAAATATGTTTGGTATCAAAATAAAAATGTCATTAAATAGGGTTCATCATTTATTAAATGACAAATTAAAATGTTCTTTTATAATATATATCAAAGAATGTTTATAACGGCATCCACTAATCAAAGTCACTTCTTCCTGTTACACACATACAAAAAATCCAAAGTAATGTGAGTTCATAAGGGGCTGAGAGAGCATTTACTCTGCAAGAAAACCAGGTGGCAGCCCACTTTCATACCCAACCACAACTTTCTCTCACCTTCTCTCCTTCAACCACATCAAACTCGACAGTTTCTCCATCTCCTACACTGCGCAGGTATTTCCGTGGGTTGTTCTTCTTGATGGCAGTCTATAAAGAGAAGAGACATTCTAAATAAAGTATATGGCAATACTAGTAACATTTCATCGCTTTGGGTTTACTGGGCATATGAAAGAAACTGCTGACCTTATTACTTTTTAAAATCACTGCTCTCCTACTAACCTCAATCTCTAAAACAACAACAAAATGAACAAAAACCCCACACCCTATAAAAACTGTTCTACAACATTACTTTCTTGATTCATGTTATCCTTCAAAGTTCATCCTGGTAGGTGGGTTAAACAGACTGTGTAGTTACACTGTTACAGCCTCATCACTTCAGTCATGACACTGGATATATTAGTTCCCTCAAACTAGCAATTATCTACGATTCAGGCTGTAGGTCCATCAGTGGAGGGCGGGGCGGGTGCCTTCATGAAATCTCACACACACACACACACACACGCATGCACGCATCTTAGGTATAAAGGTTTCTGTAGACAAAAGAAACTGATAACCTCAAAAAGTATTAAAGAATGTGTGAAGGGGAGAAGAGAGGATGAAAAGGAAAAAGGAGTCAGAAAATGCCAAGGGGTATTTCTGATAAAATACACAAAATTACTCAGGAATCAGGCCTTTCCCCCACCCCCGCCCCCATCCTATGGGTAAGGAAACATGAAGCTAATCAGTGATGTATCTGCGGCCTGGGGAGAGGGTAGGTGGGGTGGGGCACGTCCCTGTGCTGCATCCATATGTCTATTCAATATTTTCCACCATACCATGCACACGTCCCTGACAATACATGAAAAGGTTAATAAAGATGTTATCCTGCATTAAACATCTGCACCTAAACATCTGCTGATGAACAGACCTTTCTTTTTTCAACCAGCAGAAGGAAGTGGACTGACTCCTGCAACGAATTTCCATTTCCTTGGCTGGTATCTCTAAATAGTTAAAGGGGCTCCGAGTTTCTATGGAACTAGGTCAGCCTTATTTTATAAAGCGATTAGGAGAGTGTAATCCAGCCCTTCCCTTACTCTTGAGTAGGAGGGAGGGGGAAAAAAAATAAAAGAATGAGCCAATGGAGACTTCACCCACAGAGGAAGGAGGCAGCTCGGGACAGGATACGTGCGCACGCAGCCCGAGCACTGGGCCATTCCAAAGCCAGCCCCTCCCTGCCGGCTCTCCCCTTTTCCTGTTAGACTGGGCAGGCCTCAACACAGGGAGGTGACTCACCACACAGCCTCACAGCGGCTGGAATCAGGTCACAGGCTCGCTCACAGCCTGGCGAAGCTGGCCACCAGCACAGAAACTTGTGAGGTCCTTTTACTCCAGCAGTCGCCAAACGCAGAGGCCTTACCCCAAAAGGTCTCTTAACCTCCTGGTATCATAGCCAACACTTCCTGTCAGTCTGTTACAACTTTTAAAAAGTCATTGTATGTGAACAGCAACAAAAAATCTACCCAAGTTATCTGGGTACAACTGAAATATATCCAGTCAAGCGGATGTATAAACAATAGAAACCACAACCGGGGAGCTTATTCTTAGCTATCACTATCTCCAGTCACCATCCCCCAACACACACACACACACACACACACACACACACTCCCCTAAACAGAAGAAAACAAAAACACTGCAAACCAGATGCTTGACAGAGCCCGGCAGGTCAATGTGGAAAGTACCTGCCCCTATGCTTCCCTGTTGTCTTACACTAAGAACTACACAAATACTTGAGACAACCCACTGAAAACTGAACACACAGAAAAGAACAGTAAGGGTATTTTTTCCTTTTAACCTCTTTTGTAAAGTAAGCCCAGGATACATGATAATGGAATTAATAACATCCTAGGCTAATAATGTAAAAGACAGACAGATCCTGCAGCAGAGAAGCCCGTCTTTTCCACATTAGCCACTTTCTACATTTGCTTCGAGGCTGAGGGAGTGTGGGCCTTCGGGCCTGGCCACGTGCTAACCACGCCTCCCCTAAACAGGGGTGAGGAAGATCCCAGGAATGGGGAGTCTTCTCACGTCTCACACATACACACGCCCTAACCATCAGCTCTGCTGTGCTGTTTACTTCAAATCAGAGCGGCTCCGATAGAGGAGCTTTAACCAACACCCACCCAGGCAGAAGCCAGATGGGTTCTGGCCAAACACTAAGGGGAACCATACAGTCAGGAGAGTAAAACACCAACACAGAAACAGGGTTTTTGCTGAGGACTCAAAGACTTTAAAAATTAAAAAGTGGTCTAAATACTACTTCATGCCATTCAAAGACAAAAGCTGTTTGAAAACAGTTACTATGATGAAACAGAAGAGCTTATCTGCCAATCTTAAAATGTAGAATTGAGCTCTTTTGCCAAAATAAAAAACACAGAAAGAGTTTAGGATAGTGAGCGCTCCCCCTCCTAGGAGCACACCTGCCCTTTCCCTTCCCCTCTCCTTCCCCCTCAGGTGCGCCAACTCCTAAACTCTAAGGGACCCCAGGACACTCGCAACCAGGGGAGCAAAGGGCAGCAGCTTGTCCTGGGCTAACCGGGACCTGTCTCCAAGGCGCCCTTTTCTCCAGGGAGCTGACAGCAGCCCGGCCTCGGCTCACGTCTTTCCCATAACTCTTTTCTATGGAGTCAAAGCAGCCCCACCTAAGTCTCCTGTTGCTTCTGCTATCGAGGCCCTTTCTTGTTTTACTGTCCCCAGCTTTAATAGACATACTCTCAAGATAAAATAAAAGAACTGTTTAAGAAGCACCTAGGGTGAAATGATGCCCACGACTCCTTTGGGGGATGGGAGAATAGCACAACCCCTCTCTTCACACATAAAATACAGCATTTATTACCCTCTTACCTGATGTACAAATACATCTTCTTTGGTGTCATTTCTGTTGGAAGATAAAAAGAATACAATTAAAAGGTACTAGGTATGTGAAGAAAAACTTAAACAGATGTTTTAAGAGTCTAGATCCCAAGACTTCAAGACTCAACACAACATAAATTCCTTTGTTTAACCTCTAAACTCAACTCAGATGCCTGGAATCACGCTCACTGCGACGGCCTAAGCCCCCAAGGCAGCCACCCTACTCCTGCGCATTACCACAGCGCTCAGACCCCAGGGCACAGGTTCAACACACACAACCACCCGCATCCTCTCATCTCTTCCTAAGTCCCGTGGTGTGTAACCAGAGCCCCAGACTTCCCTCCCAGCAAAAGCAAAGCAAGACAGTGAAAAGGACAGGGCACAGCTGTGAACGAGGCTCTCCTTACACTGAAACCAAAAACAGTCCCCAACCATCACCCCCCACCCTAACTCACCCCGCCCCCCTCGCCAAAACACACAAGGGAGAAATTTTTTTTTTAAGAAGGGGTGGTGGGTGGAATGGAAGGGGGAGCAAAGAAAATGATAACATTATGTAAAAACATACTACTCCCAACAGCCTGCACTTACACTCTCATTCTTATATGGTTAGAAGTTACCATGGTTTAAAGAAAACACCAGTTCCTACACAGGGCTTGGAACAGACCTGGGTGACAGCTCCAGCTCAACTGCGCACTAGTTGTGTGACCTTAAAAAAGTGGCTTAACCAGTCTAAGCCTCCATCTCTCCATCTCTGAAATTATGGATATGGACTCGCCTGCCCTAGGCCCTTCCCATTTCTGACTTATCCCCCACCTCGTTTTTTCTTTTAATGACTGGATTTTATAAAATAAGTCACTTATCAGTGCTCTGGCAATGTATTTTAATTAATATTTAATGACCAGTGGCTTAGAAATAAGGGTATTTACAGTGCTTACAAATCTTAACACTTTCACAAGTCATTAAAAAAGTACGGTAAAGAATTTATAACTACTGGTACCACAACATAAGTATGTATTTAAAACACAGAGATACACATACCGATTTATAAATCCGTATCCATTTCTGACGTTGAACCATTTGACAGTGCCAAGGACTTTGGTGGCTAAAATAGGATTAAGCAGATAAATTAGTATCTGACTTACAAAGAGATAAAGCTCATATCACTTCAGGTCTTGATAGCATTATGTAAAGCCTAAACACACCAGAGGAAACCACTGAAAGCTTAATTCCAAAATGTGATAGACAAAAAGAAAATGGATTAAGTGAAAGTATTATAGGGAAATACTTTTCAGAAGAATAAACCTTTCTTCCCTGTTAAACTTTTCAGTAAAGTCATAAGATAAGGAATGGTCATAAATCTATTTGGTTCTATAATAATTAAAATTGAGAAACTGTTTAAGGAAAAAAAAGGTCTTTAAAGTTTTAGACACTGAAAAATGTTTAAAGTGCAAAAGAAGGGTCACAATGAAAGATAGATGAACAAATGACCTTAACACAGCATGTTCACACTTTGAGATACCTGCACATTTTATCAAGTGAGATAGTAGCTCCTCGTTAATAGTTAATCTACAAAGATACAACATAAAGTAACTTGTCTAGTTGCCAGTTGGGGGCCTATCAGGAATAAAAAGTAATAATAGAACTGATGCTGTCTCAATCCTGTTCTGTACTCACCACCCTGAGACATGATGTAACAGGCCAGGCCTTTTCAAACCACAATGATGAATTTGGGCTGCTGTTTCATTGTTTACCTTACTCTCTGCAGTTGGTGGGAATCAAACTCAGCAGGTGCTATAAAATTGTCCTCTTAAACTTGATTATGGTCTCTACTTTCCATCATGAGTGAGACCACTCCTATACCCCCAATTATAACAGAATTTTAAGAGAAAACCAACAGTATGGTCATATAACCTATAATTCACAGATTGATAATTATTCCAGCCATCAGGCATGATTTGAGATGACTTGTTTAAATCAATCGTGAATGCCAAATTCAGCACCTCTAGGAAATGCCTATGTCTAAATTCAGGAAACGCATAAAGCAATTATCAAGACTCAATGAAACAGGAAATGTGACAATAGAGTACACACACAAAAAACTTAGTAGAGAATGAAAGTAACAATTAACATTAATCCATGCTACCTCTCTAGGAGATACAAAATTTATAATTTCCAAGGATAAACAATAAGGATTCCTTTAACTCAAGACTAAAATAGTAATTAGGACTTACTTGGCTGTGGGCAGGGCAATTTCTGAGAGTTGTTAGGCTGATATACTTGAGGAAATATTTTAGCTCTCTTTGTAAAAAGAAAAAACCTATTCTTTAAGCCTTCAATCATTCAGCCCACTACTGACTGAGCAATCTCTAGGTGACACCAAGAAAGCAAGATCTCTCCAATGAACAGATTAAACCGTTCGTTGGAAGCTTCAGTTTTAGGCCATTCTAACTAGAGCAGTAGGGCAAAGAAGGAAAAAAAAATTGTGTTTTAGATCCAAATGTTCACAGATGTGGCCTGTTTTCGATAAATCATAGGCTTTTGAGCCATACATTATTTCAAATGATTTTGCCATTTGTGCCTCCTTTCATTTGCCCTAATTAATGACCTAGGAAAACATAAAGGGACTGTTTTTGACTCAATTTCATCTAAGTCAATGTCTACCACTGTCAAAGGAATAACCTTGATGCTAATATAATAGAGGAAAAGATAAAAAATGATTTTCAACTTTAACTTCAATCAAGGCTAAAGGTTCTTCTCACTCCGCAGTGTAGTTTAAAAATGTTTCCTAATTCTGCAAATACTTCCAAGGACTTCACATGGCCAAACACATTCATGCACACTTCTTGCTTCAAAACCATAAACTCACTCACATATACAAAGGGTGAAAGGGAGGCAGAGGAAGACCGTAGGGCTTCCCTAATGTTCAGCAGAAGAGAGTGTTGTTTCACTCAGGTAAGCTACTTTTCTGGCCTATGGCTGCCGGTCCGCTGAAGTTAAAGACTGTAAAAACCAGAAAGAGAGGATCCAAACCCGGGATTCCATTGCAGCCCGTCCTGCGCCTGGCACATTGTAGACACCCATGTGTTTGCTTGGCAAAGGAAAGGAGATGGCAGGACACAGTGGACAGAGACAAACAGCGTGCAAGTGTCACGGTGAGACCTGGGAGTTGCAGTGGAAAGATCAAAGACTTGCAGACCGTCACCAGGATGTAGCAGAGGCTTAACAGCCATCGGTGGCTGACAAAATTAACTTTATCTGCTTCCTTCACCTTTAACAATCCAGGTTAGTTTAGATCCAGAAGGGTAGAAGGATTAAGAGAAAAACTGCAAAATTCCCTTCACACAAACAGGAAAGAAAAAGGAAGAAAAAGTGGGATGTATGTGACCGCCTTGGATAACCCAGGGCTGTGGCTCCCAGGCACGTGGCCTGAAGCGCTCCGAGGGACCCTCGCTGGAAACACCCCAGTTCAGCGCTGGCTAGACTTCAGCAACTTCTGGCCCAGCAAAATGAGGGCCATTTTCTTTCTTGCCCCACACTGGTTGCGCTGAGCACGCCGCCGGCAGTGAGTGAGTAAAAGCGCCGGAACCACCAGGAAACGGGCCTCCCAAGCAGGGGGCGCGGAGCCACCCCGCTTCCCCCGCATTATCCCCTTCATTTCCTCCCCGGACCCCGGGAGGCGAGATCAACCCCCCACCGCCCCAAGTGCCGACGCCTCCCCGGGGCACCCCACATCATCTCA